TCTGTAGTTTGTCCATGATCCGTCTGCCGGATGTAAGTGCAGATACCGGCAGCTGGCTCGTGTATCCAGGGAGCAGACAGCTTACCTGGCAAGTGCGCACTGGCGTCGCTGTCTCCCATGCCTCACATCTCGAAAACAGGCTCCGCTTCAGTCAGGGGCCCTGCCAATGACCGGGCAGGGTGCCATATCCTTCCCCCCTCCCTCTAATGCTTTGCGTCACCCTCCCACGTGCAGCAGCGAGTATTCTTTTGCTCCAGTCGAGGGGGTCTAGCTTCACAAGATGAGTTGGAGTGGAAGGCTGAGCGGTGAAAATGACGAAACCTGCCTCCTAACGTACGCCAACAAACAAATTTATTTCCGATTTTAGTCCCCCTGTTCTCAACATTGTGGGGCTGGGTCACAAGTTGGAGGGACGGGAAGGGAGGAAACCACCCTACCCTTCACCGAATAGTAAATTAGCCCCTTTCCAGCGTTCAGCCCAAAAAACTACTTGACGACTCTCCTGGGAGTCACTACATTTGACTCCCAGGAGTGCACCATCACAGCCGCTCCAGCTCACCCACTGACGCACCAGGCGCCAAGCTTTGGCCGCACCGACGGACGCGCTGTGCCTCTCGTCGGCGCCATTTTTGCCGCGCGCGGTCGGGACGCAGCTGCTGCTGGTGCGGCGCGGGGCCCCGGGAGCCGATTTAGACGGTGCACCCGCAGTCGCGAGGATCTCGTTAGCGTCCGACAATCGTCCGCCACGCCCGTGGTAACCGAATCACCGACGGCGATGAATGAGCGAATGAATGAGACCGCGCTGCGGAGCGTGCGGAGGAACCCCCAGGCACCTCCGGCAAGCGGGGCTCAGCGGTTTGATTCAGTTTGCGCAGAAGAGTGGACCGAAATTTACGTGCACTGCGCGTGGCCTAGATCCAGGGATAAATCTAGATGCCTGGTGTGCTTTACGTTGGGCGATCAAGAAACTGAGAAATTCTGAAGTTGTACCACTCGCAACATGTCTGTACCTTTCCTTCCTTGATAGTAACACCTATATTGCAGCATCGCGCGATACTGTTTGTTGGATTACGCCGCATCAGGTCTGGTGGCTGCCAAGCTATTGAACCGTGCGCGATGATATGCCCACTTGAAACATGTTTCAAGCACTGCTCACTGCTGAATAAGCAAAGCCATCCGAATTATCATTCAACTCTGCATAGTGAAACCTGACCACAATAAATGATCGTATCTAAAATGCAGGTGCGATGCGCTGCCAAGGTCTCGAGAAGAATAAATGTTGCTAAAACGTCGTGCGTCCTCGATCGTCATGACATTTACGGAACGCTGGCGATATGCCCATGATGCGCAGTGCCTATATCAGCGCCCATCCCGGCCGTAGCGACGCGACGCCCCCCCCCCCCCCCCCATGTGGGACACCCCACAATTTACTCATTTCAATAGCTTTATATAGTACTGATGATTTATAACATTGCTTAGCTAAACATATAACAAGCTTAGCGAACATCATGAAATTCACCATCGACTTACATTACCGAACATATCTTCTCAACAGGATATCGCGTAACCTAAAATGTTTTTCCCGTCCCGCCGGACGCAACACCACATAGCAAAGGTTGACAGAAAGCACCGCTGAAACTTAGTGCGCTCAAGCCATGAATAGAGCGGCTGGTGTGGGTTTTTCCATAAAGGTGTACCCGCAAACGTTCGCTTAATTCATGCCTGACTGTACCCTGCCATAAAATGTACGCTTCATCATTCTTCATTCGATCACGAAGTTCACCGAAAGAAAAGCTCTGTTTGACCTGATCAGTGCTGCCAAACACAAATCATTTTGTGTGCACCAACGCTAGCAAATAACTCCAAAAAAAAAACAATCCCGAGAGCCATATTGGTGCATCCATGGCACACATGGCGGTACACATGTTAATGTTCCACATTTGCTCCGCATTCGATGAATGAATGAATTAAATTTGAATGTTCCACATTTGAAGATACTGAAGCAAGCATTTGATACGATGAAATATGCTCACTGGCAAGTACTGGTGTGCTTTCAAAGGGAATGTTCCACGTTTGAAGTGCTCACAACATAACTTCGCCATCATATTTTGCGCAACATTGACTGAGAGCCAGTTGACGGCCGTTGCATCCGGAAATAGCGCTCACTAACGCCAGATATCAACGACTCTACAATTATATGTTTGGCCTTGACCGCTGTAAGCCTTACGGAAGGGCAAGATTTAGATGGCGTTGCCTCATGACGCAACCAATGACGCTCGCCTCACTTATTTCCAAATACTGAGTTGAAAATCCCTACGGCCCACAGACAGCTGCGCCAAACCTCCCCGCGTTTGGCGCATCGCTCATGAAATCAGCTCACGAGCTCGCCAAATTTGACACACCACATACAGGATACATCTCTCGCGCTCTCCACATACATCTCGACTCTCGTATATCGCACATCTGGTCTCTCATATACCGTACATCTCGGCTCTCGTATATCGCACATCTCGTCTCTCGTATATCGCGCATCTTGTCTCTCGTATCGTGCACATCTTGTCTCTCGTATCTCGCACATCCCGTCTTTCGTATCGCGCACATCTCGCCCCCGTATCTCGCACATCTCGTCTTTGGTATCTCGCGTATCTCGTCTTTTCCATCTCGCACATCTCGTTTCTCGTGTCTCGCACACCTCGTGCCTCGCCCTGCCTCAGGCTGCTGCAGCCGCGGCGACGGCCGAGTCCGGCGGCACTCGGCAAAAGTGCTTCAAAATCGCCTCAACCAACACAGCCACGGAGACCGAAACTACATCACCACCGTCCCGGCAGGAGGTCGAAATCAACTGGAGGACTCCATCTGTCCACGAAAGAGAGGCCAAACTCATGAAAAGAGTGTAAAATTGAGAGCCCGTAACTGAATGTAACAGGTGTCACTTTCCACTCGAGATACTATATGTCGGCCCGCTGATGATCCATCGCGCGTCCGGAAAGCACCTAGCAACAGCAGGGGTCCGGCCCTCACCCAGGGACGAAACCCGCTGCACGAACTACAATGCCGCAGCCTTCACGGCGCGTTAAAAAACGTTCCGTTACTTGAACCAACGCCAGCAGCGGGATTCCTCCAAATTTGGAGCAGCGGGATGGGGAGGGGGTGCACGTGCTCGTTTGGACTCCGATCTAGACATTTCAAACACCATGCACAAGATTGTAAAGCAGTGTTTTCAGGTGGATTGCTAGACCATCCCAATGCATTACCACCATGACAAACATGAGCATTCTCCTGACAGGTAAACACGCTTTTGAAAGGAGAATGACATTGGCTATATGTAATGGCTGCCTGTCATGTGCCCATTGACCAATGTATTGTGGGATCTAACTGGAGTCAATTCTGAGTGCATCCTCAGGTGCGTCTCAATATGAAAGTCATGAAGTCGCTTCTTAAACATTGCACCTAGTCCACACATTTGCCTGCCCCATTACCTGCAGGGAGTAAGAGCAGCAAAAAGATAGGGCATGAGGCAACTTATCAGAACACATGGCTCTTATGGTTGATATTGAAATAATACAATCTGCTGAATTCACAGGATTTGGAATCCATTTGCACCTTTTCCAAATGCTACCATAAATGTTCACACACAACCAATTGTAAGGGAAGATCTCCTACCAAATGACTAAAATCTTATGCTGCAGGCCTGTGGAAATATAGAATGAGCTCAAATATTGTCTAGAACACCATAGTTATAACATCATTTATTTTTCTGAAGCACCTATTCATAATCTGTATTCATCAAAACACTAACATGTGAAAACCAGTATTTTACCAGAAAACAGGTAGGACATCTTTCAAAGGGTTCAGTATACAAAAGGAGGGCATAGCTGTAGCAGAATGTTGCAACCTGCAATGATGCTGTGCCTGATAGGCAAAGGCAAAAATACACATGACAAAGCTCCCAATATTTCAGGAAATCTGCCATTACATTTGATGAACACACCACATGCCATGTCTAAAACACTGCAGATTTTAAGATGCACCTTTTCCTATCAGTGACATATCTGAATGCTTCAGTTTGGGATCTATTTGGGGATTGCATACCAGTTCATGCACTTTGTCCTCTTCACTGCTCATCCTTGCCTGCTTCCTAAATGTACAAAAAGGAAGTCTTAATGCACAATCTGTTTCTTGCTTAAAGTTCAGAACTGGAATTATTTCCTACATCATCCTCTATTCAGCTTCATACACATTTACATTATTTTTAAAGCAATTGGTCACAATAAACAGAGGTGAGCTTCATTCAAAGTAAGAAGCATTGGTAATACTTCCATACAATGGATAAACCCTCAATAAATAAGCTGTTCTTAATTTGGGTTTTCTGGCACACTTACAGCAATGGTGATTTATAACTCACCATAAGTAGACTGCTCTACTTTGTTTTGCATCACCTATCCATATCAGCTATGCAAATACATGATAACCAAAGATGAGACCATAACTATTCTTGGGAATGTTCAGATGTTTTGGACTTTGCAAAATACACTAATGGTCAGGTTTAGGTAGATGATGGCAAGAAAAAGTAGCAAAGCCTGGGCCAATGAATGCACCATTCAAATGTGGCTTACCATGACAAAAGCTCACAGTCAACAGAGACCAGAGAAATAAGTGCTTGCTGTCTTGAGTGTCACTAACCCAACACTGAACATCACTACCATTAGTCTTTCATTCAGTTGATCAATTAGTTAGATTTGAGACCTTATGGGGAGCCCTTGCCCCTCCCCTCTACCGAGCTGACCAGAGTACAAGTGAAGGACACCACATCAGGCCTTCAGTGACATGTTCGTATCTATTTCTTAGTCACTTGAACTGGTGGGCGAAGACGCTTGCAATGACCTTGACATTACATAATAGCGTCCCACGAGCTCCACTCTAGCGACAACAGGGTAACACGAGCAATGCCACTCGGCGATCCGCCCATGTAGGTGATCAGTATCAGCGCATCGACTTACTTTTGACGATCCGCTCAGTCGTCGGCAGCCGTTGGTTGTTGGACGTCATCTCCACACACTCAGTAGCTCCCAGGGACCACCATCAATTCGCAATGAAGTCCCGCACACAACTCACTCCGTATCAAAAGAATATTCTACGAGAAGATGGCGAGTACAGGTAAATAACGATCGGCTCCACACTTTGCAACTCTTGCGCAGGGTTTGACGCATCTAGGTGGCGCTAGTGAGGACTTTTCGCAACAGCTGGCTAACACTATGGCTTTGGTCGCCTAGAGATGGATGTTACATAAAACGTACTTAGTACTTGTACTCTGAAAGCATGCGTCTCCGATTGCAATGTCCGTAGGGGAAGATTCCGGCATTCCGGGGGGAGGGGGCAGGGGGAAGTGAAGCAAAATAATTCGGGGCTGATCAGTGAATACTGACGCAGCCTGCCCGAAAATTGCCCACAAACAGGTTTCTCCTCGGATTTGGCCACTTCCTCCTCAAAGCTGGGGGGCTGGTGCCCAAGTCAGGTGGCTGGAGTCCCCCTTCCCAGCCTGAATAAGAAACTTCACCCTGGAGTCATTCGTGTTTTAGCCATGAACGCTGATGAGTGCGGTCTGGCCACTGACCAGGGAAGGCAAACTTCTTACGGGGCGTCATGTTGCATAACAGGGGAGTAGTCAGGATTCTTGAGATGGGGGGGGGGGGGGGCGGAGCCCATTGAGAATGTATTAGGTCTCTTCTAATTTATCCCCAAGAGCCATCTATGATTAAAAGGAAAAATGCTGTCCAATGCGGGCGAAGCCTTGGCTGTGCCTGTGTCGCATAGCTATGCTAATCGTTTACGATAGCAGGAGGACGAGGTGGTCCATGCATATGACACATCAATCCGCACTGTTGCAGCTTGATTATCCGTTTGCAGCCCAGATAGTACCAGTTAGTAGGCTGTCACTTCGTCAAGATCTGAACGGTTTCGGACCCTGCCTGTTTTTTTTTGGGGGGGGGATTTTGATTTTGGCAATTTCGAATTGCAACATGAGGATGAACAGCATTACAGGGCTGTAAAAGTACGTTGTCTATTCAAGCAATCTTAATATATTGCATAGAACAACTTGTAAGGCCTAATCATTTTCCAGAGAAATGTGTACTTGCTGCTTGACTATGGAAAGGCTAATGATGTTGCTATTGGTGCTGCTTTCTTACGAGCACATCTTTGTAGCCGCAGCTTTGGTAATCACAAAGACATGAGCTCATCAGAAACGCTTTTCGTAGGGCCGGAACGAGGAGCTGAGGCCGCGAGATGTCTGGCTCCTTGACACTCGACCCGGCTGCCCTGCCGACTCACTTGACACTCGACCCGGCTGCCCTGCCGACTCACTTGACATTCGGCCCGGCCGCCCTGCCGACTCCATTGACACTCGGCCCGGCCGCCCTGCCGACTCACTTGACACTCGGCCCGGCCGCCCTGCCGACTCCATTGACATTCGACCGGCCGCCCTGCCGACTCACTTGACACTCGGCCCGGCCGCTCTTCAACCCGGCTGCCCTGCCGGCTCATTTGTGATAAAGCTGGCTTTTGTCGTATTTGGGACGCAACGGTGTTGTTTTGTATTTCTTTGGGGGGCTCCAGCCCCTTTACCCTATCTTTGAGAGCAAGGCGTGCCACGTCTAGGGCGAATTCCATTTCTTGGCACATTTTAGATAGGGTTTGTCATTGTTTACTATTCAGCCTCCCCCACCAACTTGTTTTGCAAACTTCTCTCCAGTTTGGTCGCATTGGTAACCACCGCTTACCGTGATAGTAGTTTTGCACAACATTTAAAAAAACATAAAAGTGGAAGGACAAAAAAAAAACAACGAGAAAGGCGTCTTCCAAGTTGATTGCACGCAGGCGTGCTAACGGGTCTATTTTTCCGCGAGAACGGATACTCGGAACACTGTGTAAAGTCTGTTCCTTGTGCCGCACATTCTCGGTTTAACATAACATCAAGTCTGCGAATAAGTCGTAAAAAGGCGAAACAGACAGTTGTGTGCATGTAAACCTCACCTTCATAGACGACAAGGTATACGAACGGGTGGATGCCGCCATGCCACTGAGCGAGTGGAGCGGCCTTGGAGTAGCGCTGGCTAGTGGTCCTGGTTTAAAATCAGCGCTGGTTCAATGAGTCCTGGAGGCTTCAGCGTGTCCAGCTAGGAGTAAGATTTTCTTGGCAAAAGCAATCGACTGAGGCAGAAACCCTTACGGAAGAGCATAGTATGTAAGATTTCTTGTAACCTCCGCCCAGTGATATTTTATGCACGAAAAAGGGTAGCATTGTGGCTGGTTTAATGAACACCTTGGAGAGGCACGTTTACAGAGAGCTTAAAAACCATTAGGGGAACGCATGTTGCTCAACACGAGGCATTGGAGTATGGTGCAACAAATACTAGATAAAAGAAGAAAACATTTCAGAAACAGCAGAAGGCAAAGCGGATCTCAGGAATTAGAACATTTGCAAATCGAATTTCTTACCGGGGCGGCTACACAAACACCGTTCTGGGTTTGGTTTGAACAACATTGATAAGCTTAGATTTACGCTTAGAAACGGTCATACAGCCGTTGCAACGAACACTGGCGCCCGCTGTTAATATTTTTTATCTCTTTGCTCAGTTCGAAACCTTTGGACACGGCCGCCTGCGTTCCGACAACCCTCAGCCCAGTGTGATGTATTAGCTGTTCGAATGTTTCGTGATTTTTGGAAGCAACGTTATGTTTGTGCAATGTTTGCAATATCTGATGATCATGAAAAGCAATTTTAGATGTGTATTTGCTCGACACCTTAAAAAAGCCTCGTTTCTTAAAGCCCATTACATTTTACTATAAAAGGTGCCGCATATTTCAGTCAATTTTTGACCCCAATGTAAGTGTTTGCTTTTGAAAGCCGTCAACATTTCAAGGAAGCCTTCCAAACGAGGAATTTGGCATGACAAAGACACACTATGTACTTACACGATATCATGTGATGCCATATATGCATGCTCAACAACCACGATGCTGAGACTGATGTATTCAGGCGCGTAGTGTACCAGTATTTTCCTGCGTTCCCCCCCCCCCCCCCGGCCCGGTATTTTCAGATTGTGTCCACATACTGTGGGACTCAGATACACTGGGGGGAGGGGCTCAGGGCTGTGAAGGGGCTCGGGCCTACCCCAAGTATAAAATGAAGCCCCTACCAGGAGAAAAATGAGGACATAGACAGATATTATTGAAACCGATTGGTGAGCGCGTTGATAATTGGGTTGACTTTTTCAACACGGCGTTGCTTTGCGGCATGAAAAGATTCAGAGACCTCTCATCTGCCGGTGGTAATGCCCCCTTCCAACCCCCCCCCCCCCCCCCATCCCCGCTACGGCCTGTGCTGATCTGTCAGCAGGACCGCGTCTGAAACGGCCCTTGACTGTAGAGAGGCGTTAGCACACGGTACACTGATCTGGATTGTCTACCGAACAGGGCCTCAGCGGGGCTCATCCGGCATATGTGTATATACATATATATATATATATATATATATATATATATATATATATATATATATATATATCTATATCTATATCTATATATATAATATTTGGCTTCCACTTACATGCATGTAGACATGCATATATGTGGATGTCCTGTTTTAACAAATATATGAAGTAATTTACAGGAGATATATCATGATAACGCTCGGTGTTCAAACTAACCTTTAAGGCATTAGCGTTAGTCGGTTTTATGTATGCAAAGAGCTGACCATTTTACTGGGGGAGGCAGGCACGTACCCCATATCTATCAGGGAAAGCTGGAAGATCCCAAATTTTTCTCAAAACCCTGCGAATTTTGACAAACTCTCTGCGAAATCACCTCGCAGCGAGCTTCGTACCTCAGAGAGTTGTAAGGAGGCCATGATACCCTCGGCTTTCCTCTTGGTACGTCGCTAGGAAGAGTGAATTAATTCAAGACAGCTTATGTTTTCGGCGTCTGCGATAAAAGCCAACGTTCTGAAGACTACTCGGTGCATTTCACAGCCCTGCCCTTCTGAATATGGTCGTTTTGCTCGTAATTGTCTGAATTGAGGACTTTTGTATACTCTAGATACTATGCATGACCTTGAATATTGGTCCTTACACAATTTTGCTATGACGTAGAAGACCAGCTACTTGGGGCGCGCAGAAAAGCATGCAACTCATGTCCCCCTTATCCCCAGTGTTTCGGACCCAAACCTCGTAAATCAGATAGTCTGAGTAAAGATACGCGCAATGAAGCGTCATGAAAATATTAAGCATGATCCATTAAACAATGCCTGTAGTGTTAATGTGGATCTTAAGAGAAAAAGTTGTGTTGCCAGCAGCTGCCCTTTGGGTGAAAGCATAACTGGAGTTAAAAACAAATTACCATCGTCTAGAACACAGACGAGTACTCCGTTCAATCTCTGAGACAAGTATGTTTGCCCAGCTCTATCAGGTGTGACGCCCAAAGTCAGGGCAGGGGAAGTGTACTGGGAATCCGTGCTGATGTGAAACCCAGGAAACGTAGGTGTCGGCTGCGCCGTTTGTTTATTGACGGTAGTGTTTGCATGCAATTAAGAAGTTTCTGAATATGACAAGGCACGCAGCTCCTGGGCTACTTTCCTTGCTCATGCTCCATTGAAGAATAAGGATTCCCTGAACTGCAGGCTTGAAATCTATTCTAACCACTCGCACATTTAGGAAACGACCAGTTCAACTTTATGCCTGGCGACCGCGACAGAGAAAGTATGATTGTTACGAAATGATAATACGTGAGATGAATTTGGTGTTAGTTTTACCGAAGGCCTCGTACCGACCAGCGAACGCTACGCCTCCCTTCTGGTTTCTCGTTACGAAAAGGACACCGGAGCGAGGGTGTGTGGTCGTTTCTAACCAAAGATCAGATTTGAAAGCCGATGAAACGCGACAATTTTCGACATATTTCTTTGAACGTTTGCTTTTTTCAGTACATCGATGCCAAATATGTGGAATTTTTTTTTAAAAATGGGCTTTTGCTATGCACTGAAACACTTTCACAAGTTCCCGGCAGATGGCAGTAGGTAGATTCCGTGTCGCTATAGATGCCACTAGCAGTGAGAGACCACGGGCACCGTGGGGTGTGTTTTCGGACACACTTCCCGGTAATGCATTTATGTGCAATAACGAGAAAAATACGAAGG